TCAGGAGAGGTCTTCCGCGCCATGTGGGTCACCTCCAGGGCGTGGGATCGAACTCATGCGGAAGTGGCTTTTTGCCTTTAGTGCTGTAGTTTAACCTGCTGCACCACCAGGGAGGGCCCATCTGCTATTAGTTCCAACCAGCTTTTCGCTGGCAGGAAAGGCCTAGTCTAATCAACGCTGCCCGCTAGCAGCGCAAGCCCAAGGCCGCCCAATTCTTCAGTCAAGTCTGGTTTGGCCGTTCTGGGGGAGGGGAGGGGAGGCGGGGTTGGGAGCCCTCTGTCCGGCGCCATCCCCCCGTGGACACTGAGTGATGTCACTTGCCCACCCAGAAAGGAAGCCGAGCACCGCCAGCAGCAGTGGCAGGTATGAGGACAGTGACGGGTGCTACCTGCAGAAGTCCAGACACCCCAGGAAGGTGGAGCTCCAGCAGCTGTCCGGCAGCAGGGTCAGCCGCATCAGAAGCAGCAGCTCGGCGGCCAACCTGCTGGCCAAGAAGCGCGTGATCCGCATGCTCATGGTCATCGTGGTCCTCTTCTTCCTGTGCTGGATGCCCATCTTCAGCGCCAACGCCTGGCGGGCCTATGACACCGTCTCGGCCGAGCGCCGCCTCTCGGGGACCCCCATTTCCTTCATCCTCCTGCTCTCCTACACCTCCTCCTGCGTCAACCCCATCATCTACTGCTTCATGAACAAACGGTTCCGCCTTGGCTTCATGGCCACCTTTCCTTGCTGCCCCCACTCTGGCCCCCCAGGTGTGCGCGGGGAGGTGGGGGAGGAGGAGGAAGGCAGGACCACGGGGGCCTCTCTGTCCAGGTACTCCTACAGCCACATGGGTGCCTCTGCCCCGCCCCCCTGAACAGCCCTGGCCCCTGCAGTGCGGCAGGAAGGAGGGGGACGAGGTGAGACAGGGCGGAAGGAAAAAGCTAGTACCGAAGGAGCAGGAGGCAGGAAGGAAGGGGTCATTTCCGGCGGAGGCAGGAAGGAAGGGGTCATTTCCGGCGGGAACGGTCCCTTGTCTGTGTTTCATCTTTCATCCCGGTTTCGGGGATCAAGTGCGGCAGCGACTCAGTCTCTAAGCAGGTCAAGGAAGGGCACTTTCAGTAATATTCACCCTCAGAACATACCTGAGCAGGTTGGTAACAGGAGCCCCGTAGGGTGCATGCTGCCAATGTCATTGGCATGTACATGTTCACGTAAGGATTTTGATCTTGCTGAACTTTAGAAGGTTCTAGAACATCCACAGTGGGCTCTCCCCATTGTGACATACTTGCATGCTCTGCTTCTGTCGATGCAGAATTGTGAGGTCTGCCTTGTCCTGGAGAAGTCCATCCACCACACTTCTGTGTGCATCCTGTAGCCACCCTCCTCCTTGTGACCACAAAAGGGGACGAGAAGCAAACCCTCTTCTGGTCAATTTCTGCAGTAAGGGAACGCCATGACTTTTTTTCTTGAGGTTGGCCAAGGACATTCAGAGACCTAAGTTTATGTCCTCATCAGAATTATATAAGGAACGTTGTGTCAGAGATGGAATTTGGAACTTGGATTTCCAAAAAGAAGCGAGAATGCCAGGCAGCCAGGCTAGGTGGAATGCTAGCTTATCTTCAGGAATGCCAAGTTCCAAAGGGCACAGCAAGGCTTTTTCCTACATTAACAGCATATTGTAGAACTCCTGTCTGTGTGATAGTAAAGCCCAAGGCTTCTTTGCCGCACTTTCTCACACTCATCTGACATTTTCTTTCTTCCAGAAAGCCTATGGGTACAAAGGAGAGCTATGATCTATGTGTTCCTGAGCAAGGGTGGAGTAGAGCAGTTCCAGCCTAAACTGAGGCACACGGGACTTAATTACCAAATAACTTTTGACTATCAAAGCTGCTATGCCTTCCGGTCCAACCTCTGTTCTTGTTACTAATTGTATATAACTTTGTGTCTATATAAATCAAACACATAACGATGTCCCTTACCTCTAGACTTTGTGATGTTTTTCAAAAGAAAAAAAATAATATTGAACAGATCTTAGAACTAAGCAAGTGTTGTTTTTCATTCATGACAGTTGGGGTTTCCTGTGAGATGCTTTTCTCTGCTCAAACCTCTCTCCTCAACTCCAGAAATCTCAATTTGAAATGTCATATGAGTTCAACTTCTAGTTACCACAAAGCACATCTCTGTAACAGAATGTGTCTAGCCCGCCACCATTCCCAGTTACCATTCTTTACTCTAATGGTCTAATTTTGTGGGCAATGTTGTCCTGTCAGCTGAAATAAATGAACAGACATTTTTGACAGAAACACGTTTACATGCTAGTGGAGGAAGTAAAAACAAACAATAACAAAGGATTTGTTGTTTTTATGCCTGCAAGCATCTTGGTCGTGAGCTTTGGGGTGTTTTGTTTGCACCCAAGACTGATTTCAATTATAGGGAAAGAGACTGTGGCAGTGGGTGTGACAGAGAGTAACAAGAGGTGATGTGAATAGGGGTCACTGAGCAACAAGTGGGTGACATTGTGTGGGTTTTTGTGCAGGAAGGTAGAAAATTGTCTGCTAATGGAGAAGAAATATTGAGGAGGTAATTTTTTATTACGGGGGACTTTTTAAGTGGAGGTTAGTTTTTCTGTTCTTCAGGCTGAAATCTTTAAAATTTATAATCAATTATCTTAGTCAAAAATTTCCAGGTAAAAAATTCAAACCACTAAAAGCTGAATGGTTAAGATGCTAGTGGTAAAAGGTGAAAATGTTTTTGATACAAAATCGGCAAATTTCCTGCCACAAGAATGAATCTTTCCTTCTGACAGTGTTAGTATATAAATGAAAATAAGTTAGGCCCTCATTACTGGGAACCGCTGACATTTCCAAAGGTATGTCACTCTGCAAATAAAATTGCCAGATTTGGCATACAAAATACAGGATGCTCAGTTAAATCCTAATTTCAAACAAACAACAAATAGTTGTTAGCATGACTATGTCTCATGCACTAAAATAGATCCTGTGTCTTATCTGTCAGCCTTACTCTAAAATAATTTTAAAAGCACCTAAAAATATTAATAAGATTTCTCAGATCTAAAACAAGAAAATGCCTCTGTTCACTAAATGCATTGGAAAGTCTTTCATATGATGGAAGCTTTATTAAAAAGAAGAAAAAGCTATTAACTTCCTGAATCTGTACCTGACCTTTGGAAATGGACTGATCAACAGGCGGATGTTAGCCTTTAAAAAAAACTTTTTTTTTTAACATAAAGATATTCTAGTGTTTTGTTGAGCCAACTGCCTTTATTTTTGTGCTAAAAAAAGAACCTGTTTAAAATAAAGTGGCTAGTAGAATAAAGAAAACAGATTCCCCGAGTTTCTAGTATTTTCTAGTGTCTTTAGGTTGCTCTGCTCAGCAGCAGTTAAGTCAGAACTTGAACACTGGGATATAACTTTGATCTTTAATTAGCCCACCTGTCCCCACAGCTTCTCATTCCTGGTGACTAGTCATCACCCGTGACAGACTTGTATGAGGGAGCCAGGACCTGTCTATGTGGCTGGTCACATGTTTGTGTGTTAACAGCTGTCCCTCCCTCAGTGAAAATGTGATTTTCATGAGACACGAGACAATAGTGTTGAACTTCCACCGTGTTTCCTGCTAGTGTTTTGTCCAGTTTTTTGCACCAGTGAATGTTCAATAAATGTCATCACTGACTTCTGCTTTGCATCCTGTGCTTGGGGACAGAGCGGGGAGGGACACTCCTTTTGTCTATTTTTTGTCTCCAGTGGTGATTCTCAGCAAGGAGGGAACACATTCTTTGGGGAGATAGGTGCCATCAAATTTTCTTGAGCTCTTTTTCCAACTCCACATGTTTCCCCACCCAAAATTTAGCTGTGTGAGCATTTGCTCCCTTTTTCCTCTCCCTCTAAAGGGTGTGTGTGTGTGTGTGTGTGTGTGTGTGTGTGTGTAAAATCACAGGTGCGTTGGTGGCAGGTGTGGTCCGATAACATATGTTTGGCGAGGTGTGAACCTATGTCCCTAAAACACACAGGATTGTAAACTTATGCTGCCTTCATAAAAATAACAAATTTGAAAATAAATCATAGTTGTTACTCTGGGAGAGTGCAGTTGCAGTAAAGTACCATAACATGTTTTTTAGAGCATTGGGGAAAGGTGATTCTACTCGTATGAAGTAGCTACAGTAATCAAAAATCATAGAAACCGAAAGTAGACAGGTAGTTACCGAGGGTGGGTGGGAAGTGGGGAGGGATGTAGAATTTCCCAAGAATATCAAATTTAGCAAAATGAAAAGTTTCTAGAAACCTGTCACACAAATATGCTTAACAATAAACTGCATTTAAAAATGGTCAAGATGGGGGCCCTCCCTGGTGGCGCAGCCGGTTAAAGCACAGCACTAAGAAGCTTAAGCCGCTTCCGCATGAGTTTGATTCCCGCCTGCCTGGGAGGAGATCCACATGGTGTGGCAGACCCGCCCGCTGCTCCCCTCAGCAGTGTACTTCGTCGATCTGCCTGTTCTGCTCCCTGCTCTGGCTCTGGTGAAGCCTCTCACCCTCCGCATCTCTGGCCTCTACCCCAGTTCTGTATGAATAAATAAATAAATATTTTTTTTTTAAATGTGAAAAAAAATGGTCAAGATGGTAAATTAAATAGTCTGTGTTTTTAGCACAATGATAAAGGGGGTCTGTAGTATCTCCTTAGCTCCACTGAGCTCCTCCCTGCCCTCAGTCTCTTTAAGGAGAACAGCACAAAGTCATGTTTCTAACCCATGCCTACTCAAGCACTGAGACTGGTAAATATCGTCAAAACCCTTTCTGTTCCTCCACCCATCCTGAAGGGCCCTCTGGAAGCATTTCCAGCCCAGCCCCAAGCAACCAGATCATCTTAATGGTCTAATAATCACTCTCTACAACACTTTACACTTCTTAGTCCTGTCCTTACAGCCAGAAAGAGAAGTCTTTTAGGGGTTAGAAACCCCAATAGGAAACCCCATCTTTGTCTCTCCTTCCTCCCCCTCAGACACTGTGCCCTGGCTCCAAGCCCCTGATCATGGAAGACCCGAACGGAACGTGGTTGCTCTGTCCTGGATGCTTCCGGGCCTGTGTTTATTTTCAGATAGAAGATAATAGACTTTGCCACCTGGCGGGGAAGGCATGAGATAAGATCAGTAAGTGAACTCTCACCTCTTTGGTGAATTGCCAGTGTTATTGAGGTTGAGCTCTCTTCTCAGAATCATTCAAAAGAAGGCAAATGCTGGCCAACTCACCCATCAGCCTTCAGTGTGACGCTTCCTGATCTGCCCCTTCAGCTGTGACCTTTTTATCACCTCCCCTTCCCAGGTGTGATTTGTTGACTTCCTGTTACCTGTAGGACATGGCTAGGATGCCCGGCTCACCCCATAATCTCAAATTTGTGACATCTGACACAGAACTCTGTTGAATGTGGAACCCCTTCTCTTGATTCTAGTGGTACCCCAATACACTCACATATTCTCAACTGCTGGCTCATCTTTAAAAAGGTGATATCAGGGAAGGGTGGAAATAGCTATTTCATTATTAGCCTCATCTGGTTGGTCTTTTCAATTTTTATTGACAACATCCAGTCTTATGTTATTTATTACCATTAGCTGTCACATTGGGTTCCCCAAACCCAGGTATCACCCCCACCTCTTATTCATCTCATTCTCTGGTATCAGACTGATCCTACCCACACAAGGTTTGACTCACCTTGTTCCAGGACCAGGAATTCTCAATGGCTCCCGCTGCCTGAAAGTCCCCATTCTGTGATGAGAAGACACAATGAAAAGATGGCTGTCCCTGCATTAGGAAGTCCTCACCAGACACCAAATGTGCCTGAACCTTGACCTTGACCAGCCTCCAGACCTGTGAGAAATGCATATCTATTGTCTAATTTGCCAATCTATGGGATTTTTATAATAGCAACCCAAATCAACTAAGACACCAAGGAAATGGAAGGGGAAATTTAATCAGAGTTTCTTGGTTTACTGGCTAGTTTTTATCGCATTGTGTGTCAATAAAATCTAGCACAAAGTGTCATACATGAATGTGTTCAAAATACGCTTGATGAATATGAATACCTTGCATATAAAATAAAGTCTTTGCTCTAGGGTTTCAAAATTTTAACACAGGGAGACTTTTTATTTCTTCTCAAGTAATTCTGTCTGGAGCCCGAATGAGGAGGTAAAAGTAGAAGAAATGGGGACTTGAGAGGCCCTCCCTGGTGGCACAACAGGTTAAAGCACAGCGTTATGAAGCTATCCACAACCACTGTAGCGCAAGTTCTACCCCCGCCCAGGGAGCCGATCCACATGGCACAGCAGACCCCTCCTATCTCATCCACAGCTCCCCTCAGCAGTGTGTTTCAGTGTATTTCTGCCTATTCTGCACCCCACTCTGTCTCTGGTGAATCTCCACACCTCTGGCTTATACCCCAGTTCTTGCATGCATGCATAAATCAATACTTAAAAAAAGAAAAAGAAAGAAATGAGGACTTGATACATTTACCTGAAATCTTCATGGAACCCAATGGGGTCCACAGAACATAGTTCATAGAGCACTAATTTAACTCCATTTCCAGACCAATAATCTGTAAAAGCCGGCAATATCAGCCTTTCTTCCATCAGAACTAATGAGTGACTTCGATTAAACTTGGCCTCACAAGTTTAGGCTCTTAGTCTCTGGACTTCCTATGCCCTTGGTTCTGATGAGCGAATGGACCACTTCTACAAGGTTCTCAATTTCAAGCACCTCATGCATCATTCAGGCCCAGCAGTCATCCTTCCAAATGGCCTGTGTGGTTTCCTGCCAGAGATGCACTGGTCCAGTATGTGCTGCTGAGTCTAGGGGCCTCACATAGGGCCAGAACAACCCTGCACAGCCTGAGAGTTGGTCTCTCCAAGACTGAGCTGGCCACGTGTTCATCAGAGATGACTGGAGTTTTCCAGTGTTCCCAGCTGAAAAATAAAGGTCCCAACCGGGCTCTACTACTGTATCACAGGACCATGACTTCATCACTCCATGGCTTTCTGGGAGGATGAACTCTGACCAAAGTTCTCTCCAGATACCCTGTCATTCGGACCACCCAGACCAGAGGGAAGTTTTCAGAAAGCGCGATCCCTGGGTTTTATACGCCATCAGCTCCGTCCCTGCAACAAACACTGGGAACCCCTGAGTTTTAGTCCAGGCAGGGCCTCAGCTTCCCCTTCAAGCAATGCGATTTACAGATGAAGGGGAAGAAGGCCCGTGATCTGGCAGAGAGCCTCACCCCAGAGAGACCCCACACAGTAACCTAACATGCCTCCTGTTTGGGGCTGAATTGTGTCCCCCTGAAATTCATAGGTTGGAATCTCAGTCCTATGGACATTATTGTGGATCCAAGCTCTTGTAGCATTGCAGTGACATGGGTGTTCAGCCTGTCCCCAGAATACCCCAGGCCCCCACCTCTGAATCTCCTGCTGCACACAGGTTCACTACCAAACCAAAAAGAAGTCCATAAGAATGAAGGGTGGTTGCACCCAGGCTCCTTCTGGATCCTTCCTCATGCTAGCTGCGAGCTCTTGGCAAGTGAACAACCTCTCTGTGGTTCAGCACTATTGTCGGTGAAATGAAGGTTCACCTCGAAGGACATTGCAAAGAATAAAGGTAGGTCATCCTTTTTAAAAAGCTTTCACCATATCAAAAGACGCTCAAAAGCATTACTGAGCTAAAATTCTGAGCTGTCGCTTCTCAGTAAGAATGCTTAACGCGGCAGGCCCTCCCTGGTGGCGCAGTGGGTTAAATAACGCACAGCACAAAGAAGCTTAAGCCACTTCCGCATGAGTTCGATTCCCCTCCTGCCCCAGAGGAGATCCACATGGCCAGCAGACCTCTCCTGACCCGCCCGCTGCTCCCCTCAGCAGTGTACTTGT